GTATAAATAAGATTTTTGGCACTGGAGCTTCAACCCAGGGCCTCTGGCACACTTAGGCAACCACTCTTCCCACTGAGCTGCACCCCACCCCCTATTTGGTATTTTGTTGAGGAACACTAATCAGAACCAGAGAGGGACAGAGCTGCTGTGACAAACCTCTAAATAGCGGAAGGAGGGACGGGCAGAGGCAGGGAGGACTGTGAAAGGAAGAAGCCTGTATTGTTGAGAATGATCATCAAGTCCAATTCCAGTGAGGGCTCAGAAGAGGAGAGCTGTAGAGAAAGCTTCAGTCTTACAGATTTTGTACACAAACATGCAGGTTGCAAACAAAACACTGGTAGAAATACGGACAGTAAAGGCTGTTCTGTTGAAGTCCTAGAAATAAGTAATACCTTACTGGAAATGTGAGGAAAGGACACAAGTGTTAAAAAGTAGCAAAGAACTCAGCAGAATTATGCTCTGTCTTACTGTTTTATGAAAAGCAGAATTTAAGAGCAACAAACTAGGATGCTCGATGGAAGAAGTCTCTTAGCAAAGGGCTCACGATGGCTGTTCATAGTAAAACGGGAGAAGAGACAAAAAAGCTAATGCGGAATTTACAGTCAAAACGGAAGTAGAGCGGAGACAGCTGGAAAATTCTCAGCCTGGCCATATGCAGAGTGTATGTGGGTGTGAGCAAACTGATACAGAGGTTAGTCAGGAAGACAAGGGGAGAATCACCTGGACAGCAGTTCCAAGACCTTCAGGCTGCATCTTCCACAGGAGACTCTGGTGCCAGGGCCCTGAAGGCAGAGCACGCTCAAGGGCAGCCCCAGTGAGAGCTGCAGGTGTAACGCCCAAGCAGTCTCGAGCCTCTGATGCCTGAGCTCCCCGCACAGTGCTTTTAGCTGCCTCAACAGCGGCTCCAGTAGGCCCAGGGGCAGCACGGGCAACTGCCCCATGAGGGACAGCCTATAACGCTGGGCGGCACCTATGCAACGCCAACTCAGCAGGGATGCATGTTCAAACTCTGGAGGCACGGCCACCTCCACTTAGGACAGCCTTGAGGGTCAGGCAAAGAGATCCCACAGGATGCGGATGCTGCCGCACTCCTTGTGGATCAACCCCAGTGGCGCTATGGGAGCAGCAGAGCACCCCTGACAAAGCGACACAGTTGAGCTGTGCGACAGAACCACCAGTCTCCACTCGAACTGTGATCCTGGCCACCAGCGAGAGGCTGGACACAGCAATGACTAGAGGACCAGGAGGCTGCTCCACTGCCAACACGCCAGACCAGCATGGGACCTCAGACTGGGAAGGCAGAGAACGAGGCTCTGACAAGAACAGCCTGCAAAGCTGAAGGCTGGAGCCACCCAGAGCTTTGGGGACTCAGGTGCCAGCGTGTCTAACTGCGGGACGTAGAGTCAAAGACTATGCTAAAACGTCGATTTATTATTATTTGGTTCATCAAGTTTCGGATTCCCTGGAGACTGTACCCCTTTCTTTTTTCCTACTGGCCTCTTTTGGAACAGGAATCTCCTGTGCTGGTCCCACCACTGCATTCTGGAAACCTGTCACTTGTGTGCTGTCGTCAGGCTCACAACTGCAGAGTGATCTGCCGCAGGATGCAGCGTATCTTTGAGTCTCACCCACGTTTGACTGAGACATTTAGATGAAACTTTGAATTTAAAAGCTGATGCTACACACATTAAGACTTTTGGGACTACTGAGATGGAATGAATGTACTATATTTGCGTCTGACAAGGACATATATTTGTGGGCAGGCAGACAGGAATGCTGTGGTCTTCTGTGTTCCCCCAGTTCATGTGTTAAAATTCAGCGGTGCCAGGCATGGTGGCACACACCTGTAACCCCAGCACTCGGGAGGCTGAGGCAGGTGGATCGTTGCCAATTCAAGACCAGCCAGGGCTACAAAGTGAGCCCAAGGCCAGCCTGAACTGCACAGTGAGTGAGACCCTGTCTCAAGAGACAAAAATACATGTAAATTCAATGGGCGATGTCCTAGCAGCATCAAGTGGAGGGGCTTTGGGGTAAGATGTAGATTACTTGCCTAGTGCATGAGGCCTTTGGTTTGATTCCCGTATATATATGAACTTGAAGTGGATTTGAAATGAAAAAGGAAAAGGGAGGGGCTTCTGAAGGTGTGAGGTCACAAAGGCTCCCCTCCTGGGAGTGGGACAAGGCCCCCACAAAGGAAGCTTCACGCGCAGCTTTGTCATTGCTAACTTTCTCATACGCGCAGACACAGCAGTGGCCCTTTCGCCCTTTCTGTCCCTTTTGCCAGGTGAGGAAAGAAGACAGTGCCATCTTTGAGGAACAGCACTTCAGCAGCCACTACACCTGTCAGTGTCCTGATCGGGGACTTCCGGCCTCCAGAACTGTGAGAAGTAAGTTTCTGCTGTTTATAAATTAGCTCATCTATGATATTCTGTTATAGCGCCACAAACTAAGGTAGCCCCTTTAATTCATTTGAGAATATTTTTACCTCTATAATTACAGTTTTGCATTTAGTACTATAAGAAAAGAGAAAGGAATAGACTTTTCATATCAAAAGACACTTTCTGCTAGACGCGGTGTACACACCTATAATTCAGGTACTTAGGAAACTGAGGTAGGAAAGTCTCCAAGTTTGAGGCCAATCGGGGAAACTCAGTAAGATCCTGTCCTAAACTAAACTAAACTAAAATTGAATGGAGATACAGCTCAATGGTTAAGTACTTTCAAGCAGATATGAAGCCCTGGATTTAATTTCCAGTTGGCAGGTCGATGGGGATTACTGGTCTTTGTTCTCTTTCGTAATTTTTTTTTTTCCATTTTTATTTGTAGGTACTAGACTAAAAAAAAGATGTCTCGTGTAGGGGCCAGGGATTTAGCTCAGTGGCATAAGCACCTGCCTAACAAGCAGGAAATCATAAATTCAAGCATTGGTACCAAAAAAAATTTTTTTTCTAATGTTGGCATCAGTTAGCTATGTGTCTGCAAATTTAAAAATTACAGCATTAGAAAAAGGTAAAAGAAAACTGGGTTAACTGATCAATCTTTTTTTGTGTTAAATAAAATGGCAACTAATTCAAAAACTTATTTCTGAATATTTACACTATGCTTTTTGTACATACATTTAAATTTTTACCATGACCTGATTGTCTTCTTCCATTTTATTAAAAGAGAAAACAGACTTCCTTACACATTTTGAAAGGCTAAACTAGTACGATGGTGCATACCCATAATCTTAGCACTAAAAACTGAAGCAAGAGGATTGCCATGAATTGGAGGCCAGCCTGGGCTACACAGTGAGTTCAAGGACAGCGAGAGCTACATAAGATCCCGTCTCAAAAAAAAAAAAGAGAGTGATTTAAAAAAGCAATGATTATATAGGTAGAAAGTTGATTGTTTTTAAAGAGAATAAGTTAGCACAGATCCAACAAAATCAACTGGTAAAGCCATGGTTGCATGAGATCCTGACGTGCCAGGGACACAGCAGAGCTTCCTAACACGCACAGGCCCAGCCTCAGGGGGGCGGGGAGGCAGGGTGCTCCATGCTTATGTTTTAGCACTGCTGAAGGATGACATCAGAAAATGTACAATTTCACTTTAAAATTTTTTTTCACATTATATAGGACTAGATATCTGGTATTTAGGGAAAAACGCGTACTTTAACACTTTTATTTTTAGTAAAAGATTAGACTTTCTGCCATATGAAATATGTCTGCAGTATAAAAGTTAAACTTCAGTAGGTCTAATTTGAATGTATTTATATTTCTTTACATGGGAGACACCAATGAATCTGTGAGGTGGCAGCATAAAAAACAGTACAAAAACCAAAGGCTCAATGCCAGAACACGTGCTTAGCTTTCTCAAAGCCTTCACTCAACCCCTCTGTATGAAAAAAAAATTAGCCTTCACTTATAAAAACGTATACTCAGATGAGCAATCATAAAGCCTTGGGTGCAGTTCTAGACCCTCATCTACAGCTTTTTCATATTCTGTCATCCTCCTCACATCTCTCTGGGCTTATTGGGAAGCTCAAAATTTAGGTAGGGGTTATAAAAAAAACGTAACTTGGGAAATTACAAAAAGTGGTTGACGTGTTAGTCACACACTTAGCTTCCATTTTTTCCTCCTTTTCTCGTGTTACCAATATCTCACTACATCTTAGGAGACTATGCTTTAAGTAAGAAAGCTTTATTAAATTTTGTATTTTTAAAATGACCTGAGTAATTATTTAGATTTTTCAGAAAAATTTCTTCTTACCTTCATTAAATACGTATGCAAAAAGCATCTGACATGCTTCCACGTAATTTGATAAAGATTATAGTTAAAGTGATTATTTAGTAAGACAGTCTATTGGCTTCCTTGGTAAGACTTATAAATATATCTTTCTCTCTAAATTATAAAAATGGGAAGGTAAAAATACCTAGCAGTATTCAAAACATACCTGAATTTGAAATAATGATTTAACTTTGTCCAACGAATATCTGAAAGGATATTTTATTACACAGAAACAAACCTACAAGCTGGTAAAACAGGTATTACACCCCGTCAACATGTGGCATATTATAAACATCGTAACTATTACATTAAAGTCAACATTTCTTAAACATTATGTGCTAGGGATGAAGCTAGGTGCTTTTATACAATTTCTTTCACTTTTAAAACAACCATTTAAATAGGTTCCAATATTACCACCAACTTAAAAATGAGGAAACTGAAGTTCCAAGAGGCAGTTATTTGCCCAAAACCTGACAGCTGGTAAGTAGTAGAACTTACAATCAAATCCATGCCTGACTTGAAAGCTCATCTCATTAATGCTTACAGCTTTCTGATGTTCAGTATTTGCCCAAGGAGTTACCACTGATCCCCTACAGTGCTAACAGCAGTGCACCTCAACTTAGTACAAAAAACATTACCTAGCTTCAAAGAGTCTACACTTCACTAAAATGAACTCTGCTATCTATACTACTGAATCACAACTGAAACATGAAAATGAAAGAAATACTTACTTGCACAATTTGCCTCTTGCCATGTGGCATTAAAAAACTCCGAGAGAATCACAACTACTTGCATTCTATCTGCCATTAAGAGACTTCTGGCACAACTCTGACTTTCTGAAGTATTCTGCAACAAAAGAAGATAGAAAAATACAATCTGAGTATTTTCCGATTTCCAGTTAACAACTTGAGAGACTAACCTTTTAAAAAGTTAAAATATTCATTATAAATGCTTTAAGATTTTACCTGCTATGATCAGATAATGATGGCATTAAAAAGTGTTAAACAGAGGTGGTAAATAATTGTAAAGGTAAATTGTGAAAAACAGTAAAATAGGGTTAATGTTAAAAACTGATAAACTAAAAATGGTAAATTATTAAATTTTTTTAAAAAATTTTTTTGTACTGAGAATTGAACTCATGACCTTGTATTTGCCAGGCAGATGCTGTGTCACTGAGCTGTATCTCTGGCCAAAAATGTGAAATAAATTAGTAGATAACATTTATTGGTATAAAGTTCACCTGCAGAGGAAGAGGAAGAAAATCTTACTTCTTAACTAAGTATTTGCTGTCACAGTAAATCTCTACTTCAGTCCAAATGCCTGCATAACACAACTCTTCTTATGCACAGGAAAACATTCTATTACACTATGCACCAAATACAGAAGTAATTATCTCTGTATAATGAAAATGTGGCAATTTTTATTTTCCCTTTTGTTTCTCTTATGCTGTCTAAATTTTTCATTTACATTTACTTTTTAAATGTTGGGTAAATGATCACAAATTGTTTGGCTTTATCTTTTGGGTAATTTTTGGTTCAAAATCTTATAATCCACAAGAAAACCCATAATACATCCAGGTAGCACCCAGTTAGTACGGAGATTTTTTAAAAAATGCTTTAGACAGATAAAGCCCAATGCCTAAACTATTTGTTTCTTTATTTTTGCCTACACTATTTAATCCCTTTGCCCGCAGGCCTTCATTCTGTCAAGGCTATTGAACTGTTACTGTTTACCGAGCACTAACATAATCCTCGAGTTTCGAGGCTGAAACTCCCATGTATACTCAGCTATAACGTATATGAGAATGCCATTAGCAGTGAGGCTTCAACCACCTCCCTGAAGACAGACAGGGAATTACGCAGTGTGATCCCTGTCAGTGCATGTTCCCGGAGGAAGAACTGACCAGTCACATGCGGTGACAAAGGAAGCAAGGCGAACTTCAAAGAAGAAGGCTCTCTTTAAAACACTGCTGACGTTCATGTCGGAAAGATTACCCTCTTTGTGGCTTACCACCCTCTCAGTAAAAGGTGAATTTAAATGAATGCTTACTTTCAAAACAGTGGGCTGAACAAAACATTTTGAAAGATCTTTGTTGGAATTATCTCCAGGGCAATACAATTGTAGAAGAAAATTTATCTTATTACTTTGTAAACAGAGCTTGGCCAAGGAATTAGACAAATGCAGGTCACAGATCATTTATGTTGGCAGCTGACCTAACCTCTCTAAGGTTCAATTTCACAATCATGGCTCATATAGCTAGTAGTAAATGAAAGAAGAGGTCCAGGGTTAAAGCACTATGGTACAGCTTGCGGCATGCACTCGCCCCTGGGTTCAGGCCCTCCCACACACACAAATTAACACATATTAATCACTCTGCATACTGTCTGACGTACAGTAACTGACATGAGAACTGGCTATCTTGTTGCTAACCCAGAGCACTCTAAGTGGGTGTATCTGAGTCAGTATACCCATTACTTAAGTTGCATCTTGACAACCAGATGACTGGTTCGTGAAAAAATCAGTGCAGGACATCCCGAAAGATGGCAGAGGGTGAAGAGCAGAGAAAGCCTCTCTGAGAGTTGGTGTCCAGATGCTGCAAGAAGAGAAGGGAAGTGGGTCCCCAGGTCACAACAACGATCTGAACCAAGAACGGAAGCCACAGGGACAGGGAAGAAAGAGACCTGAGTGAAGAGGAGGTGGCAAGCAGCACCTTCTCCCTGAGCCCTGACTCGCTGCGTGGTAATGGCAGCTTGAACCTGGATGCTTGATGCCTACTAGCAACCCCAGAGGCCTCCACAGAGAAATGTACCAGTAGAACAGAACATTGGCCATACTGAACTGAGGTGGCTGGTGAGTTATTTGCGTTCAGATGTTCCCCGGGAGAGAGCAATTAGCTGGTAACCACCCTGGAGAGGGGCCAACCGTAGAATTCACAGCAGCTATCAGATGGCTTCCTCTAGCAGCACCAGTGTCAGGGCGAAGCAGAAGCCAGTTCAAATCAGCAGGAGTTCAAGGCAGTTCAAGTCCGCAGGAGGTCAAGACGCCAAGTCCAAGTCAGCAGAGGGGTACTCAGAGCACTGCAGGCTCAACAAATCAGGTTTCAGCCGCACTGCCAGAAACCAGCCTGAACTTCAGGGCGCTAAAGCTGCAGGCTTGCTGGGATTGTCCAGGAACCTGCTGTAAATCTACAGCTGGCTTGCTGGGATTAGTCACCATGGATTCTGACCTCTGGCCACTTTATCAACAGTAGCAGAGATATGCATTGAAGTGGAAATTATTTTTCTTATCTTTTTTCTTCTCTTGCTTTTGCTTTGTTTTTCTTGACTGCTTCTGTTTTTATGAGTATGAACACTTACTAGTCTTTCGTTGTTGCTCTGTTCTTAGTTTTTATTTCTTCCTTCGTGGTTCCTGTCTTCTTCCACAGCTTCCCGAAGTTTGTAGAGCTCTTTGTCTTCCAGCCTTGCTTCTAATCTCTTCCTGTTCTTCTATTTCTCTATTTTTATACCTAACTCCTTTTAAACTTTTGTTCCTGAGGGTAAAACTGCCATACGGAGGACATATTTACTATATACAATTTTCTGGTTTGTTTTAAATTTTGTTATATAACCACAAATCTAGTTCATACAATTAAAGGTGGCAAACTAATAGCTGCCACAGTTTGTCATTTTTTTGGCTCTGTTTGATGCTACTCTTATTGTTAATTGCACTATTTCAGCCAAGATAACATAATATTTCAGTCAGTTGTTCTTCACAGTGTGCCAAGACTGAGATTTCATAAGGAGCAAAAAAACACTACAGGCCAGTACCAAAGAAATAGGGCTTAGGCCAAACAGGCAGTTACTCATCCCCAGTAAATTGGAGAAGCAGGATCTTGCATCAGATTCAAAATCCAAAAGCCAGTTACACCTGGGAGACATTTCTGAGAAACAGTCATTTTCTAAGGATTCTAAATGGCAGCAATAAAGCTACTGGTCATGGGCAATTTACACGCGTCAATCCAGGAATGAATCTAAACTTAAAAAGAGTGGAAGAGGAAAAGACTTCCAGCACACAAAGGCAAACCCCAGAGGAGACGACATAGAACAATTTGAAAGCCACCACAGGGACGCTCAGAAGTAATAACAGCAGAAGTAACAAGCAGACGAATGAGCTTTAGAAAAAAATCAAATCAGAAATAATTTCTGTAATTAAGGAGATGATGACTATAATGAAAGACATGGTTAGTGGCTGTGGAGCAGACACAAACAAAAAATAGAGGAGCTTAGGAAAATGATGGAACCATGAATCCTCTGCATAGGAAACAAGTGGCATCCATGAGAGAGTCAAACAAATACCCAGAGTATACACAGCAGAATGAGCCAATAAGAGGACAGCATATCAGATACAGATAACAGGACTGTGGTCAGTGATCATAAAAAGCTTTCTGAAAAATAGCAAGGGACCAAGAAAAATCAACCCAACAGCTGCTAGGTCAGGCAAAAAAGAATAACGTAAGGTCAGTGAAAAAGCAGGAGATGGCACAAATGACATAAAAAATCTGTTCACAGAAAGTCATGGCAGAAAACTTATCAACCAAGGAAAACTTACCAACCAAGGAAAAAGAATTTGGCATATAGCTAAGTGAGATATATAGAACTCCAACTAGACATGATTAAAAAAAAAATCTACTGAGGCTTGTAATAGTCAAGATTCCAGAAATTCAACAGCAAAACAGACTATTAAAAGCTGTTAGAGAAAAGAAGCAAGTCACCTATAAAGGAAAGCCCAGCAGAATCACAACAGACTTTTCAACACAAACCCTCAAGTCAAGGAGAGTTTGGAGTAAGCTACAGTATTTTAAGCCCTCTGCCCCCCAAAAAACAAAAGAAAGAAACAAACAAAACCTCCACCCTAGACTGATATACCCCATAAAACTATCAAAACTGATAGAGAAATAAGATACTTTCATGATAAAAAACACCTGAAAAAATTCATGACCACCAAACGAGCACTCCAAAATGTACTGAAGGATATTCTAGAAAGACATAACAAGGACCCCCATATAACTCCATGAACTCCAACCTAATGAATCCAACAGATAAGGCACGCAATTAAACACGAAGAAAAAAGGAAATCAACAGGAAAATAATGTGATATGGATAAGTCAATACATATCAGTTGTCACCCACCAAAGTTAATGTTTATATTTTAGTAAGATGGAAAACACAGGGCCGGGATTTAGCTTAGTGGCATAAGTGCCTGCCTCACAAGCGCGAGGTGGTGAGTTCAATCCCCAGTACAAAAAAAAAAAGATGGAAAACAGAGAAGAAATGGACAGACTCCTAGATACATATGAATTACCAAAGCCAAATCAAGAAGAAATAAAAACCATAAATAAACCAGTACCAGTCAACGAAACTGAAGATGTAATTAAAAAACCTACTAACAAATAAAAACCCAGGTCCTCCAAGGAAATTTACTGCCAAGGAAAAATTACTGCCAATATTCCTCAAACTCCTCAATGAAATTGAAAGGGAAGCAAAGCTCCCAAACTCATTCCTGGAGTCAAGTATCACCCTGATACCAAATCGGAGAAAGATCCAACCAACAAAAGAAAACCACACGCCAATCTCCCTAACAAACATGGAGGCAAAAATGCTCACCTGGAAACAGAATGCAGCAAATCATCAAGAAGCTTATATACCATGACCAAGTGGGATTCATCCCAGGGATGCAGGGATGGTTCTACAGATATAAATCAATAAACGCAATATACCATATTAACAGAGCCAATGACAAAAACATATGACCACCTCAATAGAGGCAGAAAAAAACATTGGACAAAGTCCAACACTCATTCATGATAA